GCACTACGCGTCGTCCGCGCGTTAGTGTTTTTTGGGGGGGGGGAGACGAAGAGCATGGCTCGATGGTTCTTTCCCGGACCTCGATGACGACGCTTTTGTGTGCAGCGCGAAGCGAGGCCTTAGTCATCGGGAGAATGCTGTCCTCGCGGCGGCACCGATCGGCAGAAATTTCTTCTGCCGCCGCGGAGAAAATGCCGGCCGCCGGCCGCCGACTGTTGTTGTAGCCTCGGACCCGCCGCTCGTCGGTATGAAATTTGGAAGCGCTTTCCCTGCGCGATTGTTGGCACAGCATCATGCTTTTTTTCACTGCTGGCCGTTCCACAACACTGGCGGTTTAAATTAAGGCAATATTCGCGCCGAGTAGAGAAAATTCTATCGTAAGCGCGCCGCAGAGCGAGGGTGCGGGCGGTGCGCAGCTGGTGTGTGTGGTGTGCGCACAGAGGCGAGTGAATCATGTTTTAAAACACAACATAGCAAGCAATGTACAATAACCAAGAAAGTCATCCCATGACTATTGATCTCTCGCGCGCAGCTTTTGCCCGGGATCTCGATAACGCAGCCGCCGTCGGATTGGCTGCGGGCGAGCTGTCCAGCTCGCATACGCGAAGTTTTGCCCGACTTCCGTCGCTGAGGCTCAAAGGTTGCGCCTACGTGTGACAGCGACAGGCAGTGCGTTCTCGGGAGCGCTTTCAGTGCCAGGAAGACTTAAGAAGTCATTAGAGGGCACTTTGGTCGTCAGCGAGCCGTGAAAATTATGCTCCAGGCGGTGCACGGGATATCTTGTCGGTCGGAGAGCTGTGCGCAACAGGTTTAGGATCGTAACGTCTCAGATCGGAATCTGATGTGTGTCGATGTGGATGGCGTGGTGGTGTATAAATGAATCTGACCGTGATTTGTCGTAAGTATGTGTTGTGGTATTCTTTATATTGCTTATGCTTTTTGGCTGAATAAAAAAAACTTTATCTCAGGCGAATAGTCGCGTGCTCGTTCTAACTATTGACGAAAGCGGACAGTTGCATTGTATCTAATTCTATTGCGGGAAACTTCTCGAAACGAAATTATTCTGAAACCCACTCATACGCTGATGTACAAAGTTCCAGATTGAGTACAGACCTGTGCCAGATCTAAGGGACATCCTACTTCTCCATGCGACAAACTACTAGGGCCGAACATCAGCCCTAATTTGAACACAGCCAGGTCAGATGTGTAGTTTATTAAAGTAACTCGTGCAATCTGAATCCGATAAAATGTCCTGGTAAATTTCGGAGCATTCATTTCGCATAACTTTATCGTTGTTTTTTTATTGTTATTCATTATTATTTGCCGAGTGTCTCCGCTGTTCGAAGCGCGTAATCTTCCCTTGTTTAAACTACCATCGTGTGAACATTTGTCCGATTTGATGACATTTCCTCACCGTGCATCGAACGAGTTGCGGAGTACGTTACACTACCGTGACGCGCATTTGACCGCGCATTACGTTACCAGACTAGCACGCATTCAAAACAGTAGTTAAGCTTCAAGTGAAAATCGAGGGCTGCTAGTTTAGCACGAACGACCATTCGGTAAGTGATGATCGTATGTTAACTCGCTATGTTGGGTTTGAAATTTGCTTTGTATTTTGCATGCCAATTTGCGCTCAGCTCCGCTGCAGGATGTGTTCGTCACTTTGATTTCCGTCTTCTCTCGACGTGCTTTTTCAACTCTCAGCACACACCGCGCGTATTCGTTCTCTCCATTTTTATTCGAAACATTAGGCTACACACCGCGTGCCGAAGGGCAACGGGACGAGTCCCTTAGGTAAACGATTTCCATAACCTCCTGTACGAGAATGACTTCGAGTGTGTCGAAGCGTGAACGCTTGTGGGCAACTCTACCAGAATACGGGCACAGCTGCCCGATGCAAGTGAAGCTTCGTGTTGTCGCCATACCACTTCTTAAGGCAGTAACAACCGCACCCGGTGTGAACCAGAACATCAACGCACGGTAGTACCAGACCACACTCGTCGTTGTACCATAACACAGCGCGGCGTTTTATCAGAAGCACACGCAGCGTGTACCAGAACAAGCCACGCACGGTGTACCAGAAAAAGCAACACAGCGTCTTGTGTCCAGAACAACGCAACGGTGGTACCCAGACCCACACGCCGCGAGTGTACCAAGAAAGCACCGCACGGTGTAGCCAAAACACACGCGTCTGTGTACCAAGAACAACGCGCACGTCGGGTGTACCAAGAACACACAGGCGCGCGCGCCGTACCAAAACACAACCGCAGCGGTGTACCGGCAAAACACATACGCGCATCGGTGTTTCAGCGCATCGGTAAACGTTGAATACGATTGCGTCGCAATCGCAGGCACCTAATGTCGCAAAACTGCTGAAGGGACGTCGGATGAGGTGCTGATGCGACTGCGCAGCTGGGCGAAACGTTCGTGCTCACGCGAGCGCCGCTCATGCATTGCCACTACGATGAATTACAAACACAATCTGTGGGCGCTGATTGGATTTCCAAGTTTGAAAACCGCTTTGCATGAATTCAATACAGCAGACAGAGGCAATTTCAGCAGGATGCTGAATGCTTATTTGAAATTCATTTCGTGAGCATTGTCTTGAATGAATCTCATTACTTTTCGGCCATTACATGCAGGGCGGAGTCCCGTCAAAAAAGATGTACATAATCAAGCATAGTCGATCGGATCGCCAGTTTCTTGCTATGTCCAAGTGCAGGTTTCAGTGATCACCGAGTGGTA